CTTCGGGCATTGTTTTATTTTCCAAAAGTTGTCAGTTCATTCACATTCCCATTTGTCTTGTGCCAAACTTAGTCTGAACGACAAATAAGCAGGTCAACATAGCACAAATCTATTAGGAGGAACTTTAAATCGATTCATTCAATCATTCCACTTGATCTGAAGATCGTATTGAGCCGTGAAACAGACAGTCACTATGCAGTGTTGATTCTTATATCCACACTTTATATGGATAAAAGCGCTGTCTTAGACAATAAGCACTCTTCCCTGAGAAGTGTTGTGTCTAGCTAAAACTGTTGTACAAGCAATGGTAATTAGTAGAAACTCTGTGATGTGTTGAGGCGAACACACTCTACACACTCTCCTTCCTAGCACTGCTAAGAGCAGCGGAACCAAGAAAATTTTTATGCGCCACAGAGTTCAAGGTTAATCTATGCCAAGCGTAATTTAGCAGCCTGATACTTTGATTAATATTTTAATAGCCTTTCGGTTTTGTTTATAATTTGAATGAGTTTAGGTACGATAAAATGATTAAATGGAGTGTTTATTTTTGTTCATATCAAGATAGTTACATTACTTCATCAACAAAATAGTTTGGCAAAATATTATTGAAATGTGTTGGTTTTGTGTTGCATAATTTTCTATAAAATAATGTGACAGTATAAAATATCATAATATTAAATACTCTTTTACAATAATCATTGATTACAAAACAATCAAAACGCCTAATGTAATTCTTATAAATAATTCCGTACAATAAAAATCTACCTTATGGAAAAATAATACACACACACACACACACACACACACACACACACATATATATATATGTGTGTGTGTGTTTGTGTATATATATATATATATATATAAAGAGAAGAGATTATAGCATTTCCAATGAGAGAAAAGTCTGTATAATAAAAAGAAGAGAGAAACGGCAACCATTTTTGGTCGCGCAACTTTCATTAGGCAAAGAGTGGATATTTTCACATATTATTAAATATTCTCGCTATGAGATATTCTCTTTTTGCGTGTTAGTAACCAAATGTCTTTCTTGACATTTCAAAAGAAATTATATATATATATATATATATATATATATATATATATATATATATATATATGTGTGTGTGTGTGTGTGTGTGTATATATATATATATATATATATATATATATATATATAATTCAACTTCCTGCCCCTGCCTAAATATATATATATATATATATATATATATATCGACATTTTAACATTATTTCATTCCTCTGATTCAAATTTCCATAATATAAGTTTAAATTAATGAACTACCATATTTACATAATATTCATTCCACTCTAACTCTTCAAATGTCGACAGTATAATTCTAATTATTATATTTTATTTCCCCCTCTTTATAACTTCTTTACACTATATTTATAAACTCCCCCCTATTTTAATATCTCCTTAACTCTCTTTCCATTAATCCCTTACATCTTTTTTATTTATATATTTTAAATTCATTTCTAGACGCCTTTTTATTCCTTTTTTAATTTTAATTCATTCTCCATATAACCCTAAATCAATGTCATAAGGTTAATATTCGGTTTTAATTTTATAAAACTTCTTTCCTTTACGACAAATACCTTCCAACCTCCACTGACCCCTGTCTCGTGCCTTTCGTCTGACTGAAACATTGAAATGGATAAATTCTCTATTAGTTTTTCGACAGGTTGCTTTTTTTCAGCTTTTATAGTTAAATTCTACTTCCCGTCCTTCCTAAATGTATAGACAGGAACTCAGTCCACTTCGGGGTTGATAAGACAAACGACCGTTATCTTCGTCTGCCGAAATAGGTTATTCCCCATATGAGGTAATTTTGGATTCTATTGTTTATTAATTAAATTGCTCTGTATTAATAAATATATTGAGCTCTTTGTGGATGAGTTCCTTGTCAAGGCACTTAATACATACAGGAATATTAATCCCAGATCGAAAATCCATTTATTTATACTGCATTCCGTTTAAACGTTCTCCAGTGTTCTCCGTCATTAGCAACTCTAGTTCAGTTATTGCCATGTTCATTCAGCGGATAATTTTGTTTATTCACCGCCTCCTTGGTCAGTCTCTTCCGTTATTGACAGCCGTGATTCCGGAGACTGTTAGTTCCTGCCAGCCTTGAGGTATCCATCTAGCAGATATGTCCAAAGAGACACCGATTCCTTTGGATAATAGTTTGAATGATGTTCTCTCTTTCAGTATTTCGTATCCGCTGGAACTGTGTGACGTTGAGGATAAGGCGATAGTAGCAAGATACAAAAGTCAAAGGGCAATACACGTCCGCTTACGATGCCGGAGTCTCCGCTCCATAAAAAAGGACACTGAGTACAAAATCTTTCAGTAATAGTAGCTGGGGTTTGCCAGTTGATTTTTCTGAGCTTCCAGCTTTTCTTGAAGAAAAGAAAGTTCCGATGCTTAGGGTAGGGGGTGATATATCATCTGCAGTTGGTATATGATTATGCTTCTTAGGCACTCGAAAACATTAACTGCTTCGACTACGTTCAGTATAATACAGTGAACATTTCAGATCCAAATCTAAATTATGTACGTAATATTCAGATAATTTAGTGGTAATTGTTCTAATGAGCTTTCCCCGTACAGTACCTAACATTTATGAATGTAATCTCAGTATCTGACTATATTTCTGAGATGAGATATTATGTACCCTATTATGGAGAAGTTGGAGAGGGGAATTAACAGGAGATAACTGCCAACTGACATCCATTAAACATGGCACGGGAAACTAGAATAGTGTTGTGTATGATACACCTAATTTACATAAGCGGACTACCGACCATATAAATATGGGTTGGTACCGGAAGACGGGGAAGATAGTAGAGATTTAGAAATTGAATCCAGAGACTCTGCCCGACTGCGATTTAGTCAACGCATTATGCAGGAACAGTCTTCCCAAGAATATACCAAACTAACTGTAAATATTGTGTACCTATTCTTTGTTTCAATACATTTTGTTAACGTACATTTTGTGTTGTATTATTCCATGCTTATTTAAGCTTCAACAAATAGTCTACCCCAGTGAGCGAAATAAAGGGTTCAGTTCGACATTCCAACCACCTGAAGAAGACCGGAGCGTACAACGGCCGAAACATTTTAATAAATATGGCAACAAAGATGAGGACAATAATCCGAATAATGTAAATAGGGTAATCACAGTACTATATTGGCCGCAAATTCTCACCATTTTACAGTTTAAATGGCTGAATGCAACCGTAAGTTCTATGCTAACATTTTCTTCTGTCGCATTTCTCGCTCATTGAACACTCGTTCGGCTTCTTGCTTCCCACTTAATATTGACCTTCAAAAATTTCAATGCAATGTTAATCGTTATCATCTTAATGTCCTTTTATTCTCTCCTAAACAGTATATTTTTTCATATTCTCTAACACCCCTTGAGTCTTAGTGGCTTTATTGTATTGTATGATGGGAAATGATTAAAAAATATATATCTATCTAGTTACAAAAATCCAAACTGTGAATTCGACCAACCAAAAAGCCTGCCAGGCAACCAAAAGAAAACTCAAATAGAACTCGAAAAAACAAAATTTACTGACAAAAATGAAGAAAACCTGTACAAGATGGGAAATAAAAAAGAAAGTAAGAAACAATGGCGAAAATGCAGACACTTACGTGAAGAGAGCAACAAAAGTTTTCTAGGTTTAAGTTATTGAAACAGCAGAAAAGTAAACTATTTACATTATTCGGAATATTGTCCTCATATTTGTCGCCATATTTATTACAACGTTTCGGCCGTTCCTCAGTATCTGTTAACGTTAAATACATATGGCGACAAAGATTTCCGGTATACAACGGCCAAAACCTTGTAAGAAATATAGCGACAATGATGAGAACAATCCCCCGAATAATGGAAATAGTGTACATAATACGTCATCTCAGAAATATAGACAGATACTGAAGGGCCGAAAAGTTCTTATAAATATGGCGACAAAGATGAGGACAATAGTCCGAATAATATAGTGTAGATAATACCTCATCTCAGAAATATAGACAGATACTGAAGGGCCGAAAAGTTGTAATAAATATAGCAACAAAGATGAGGACAATTGTCTGAATAATGTAAATAGTGTACATAATACCTCATCTCAGAAATATAGACAGATACTGAAGGGCCGAAAAGTTTTAATAAATATAGCAACAAAGATGAGGACAATTGTCTGAATAATGTAAATAGTGTACATAATACCTCATCTCAGAAATATAGACAGATACTGAAGGGCCGAAACGTTGTAATAAATATAGCAACAAAGATGAGGACAATTGTCTGAATAATGTAAATAGTGTACATAATACCTCATCTCAGAAATATAGACAGATACTGAAGGGCCGAAAAGTTGTAATAAATATAGCAACAAAGATGAGGACAATTGTCTGAATAATGTAAATAGTGTAGATAATACCTCATCTCAGAAATATAGACAGATACTGAAGGGCCGAAAAGTTGTAATAAATATAGCAACAAAGATGAGGACAATTGTCTGAATAATGTAAATAGTGTAGATAATACCTCATCTCAGAAATATAGACAGATACTGAAGGGCCGAAAAGTTGTAATAAATATAGCAACAAAGATGAGGACAATTGTCTGAATAATGTAAATAGTGTAGATAATACCTCATCTCAGAAATATAGACAGATACTGAAGGGCCGAAAAGTTGTAATAAATATAGCAACAAAGATGAGGACAATTGTCTGAATAATGTAAATAGTGTAGATAATACCTCATCTCAGAAATATAGACAGATACTGAAGGGCCGAAAAGTTGTAATAAATATAGCAACAAAGATGAGGACAATTGTCTGAATAATGTAAATAGTGTACATAATACCTCATCTCAGAAATATAGACAGATAGAGCAAAAAAGATTAACAGCTCACACCTACGAAGAGACAAAGTTCAGAGCGCTACTTAAGTTTCATGTTGCCTCGATCGTCAGACAGACAGATCACCTATTATCTATCTATCTATCTATCTATCTATCTATCTATCTATCTCAGACCATATCTATCTTAGGCTGTCCATATCTATCTATCTATCTATCCATCTATCTCAGGCTGTTCATATCTATCTATCTATCTATCTATCTATCTAGCTAGCTAGCTAGCTAAGTATCTTAACATCAGTTTCAGTATATAGGACACATATTGAAGAATGAAGGCTTGGAGAATATGTTCCTCACAAGACAGATTGAGAGCAAGAGGGACAGAGATGAACGTCGCATTACATGCTTGACGAACTCGGGAAAATAGATGTCGGAAAAGGGTTTAGAAATAAATAAAAAAAGACAGAATTTATTTAAAGCTGCAAGAGCCAAGAAATAGTGGAGAGCCATAATCGCCTACGCCCTGAGAGGAAATGGCATAAAAGAGTATGAGTACAAATTTCTCAGATATTCAAAATGGCGTAAATGGCAGAAACTAGTTACAATACAGATGAACCTCGATTTTCGAACGTCTCACATGTCGAATAAATCGGGTTTCAAACAGAAAATTCGAGATGAAAATGCCTTGGTTATCAAACAAAATTTCGCTTCTCGAATAACATTGCCGAACTTAGTCGAATCAAGTTAACCCGGACGGAATCATTCCCGAGTCGACCGCCATGTTGTATACATTTTTTTCCAATTTTATTTTACTCTGCCTTTTTTCTCTTCGTTAGTTCTCAGTCATGGCTCCAAAGAAAGCTAGTTGTGATACTGTTAAAGGAAAAAGAAAAGTTTTAAAAAAAACAATTGTTGATTATATTGTCTCTTCCTATTCAGTTTCATATGCCGAACCGAGTTAACCCGAACGGAATCATTTCTTAATCGATCGCCATGTTGTATATATTCGTGTATTGTGCTGTGCTTTTCTTTTTAATTTTCTTTCCTCTTTATTCTTTCCTTCCTCTTTGCAAACAATAACATCTCTTTCCTCCCCGCTTCACACCACCTTCCTCTTACACCATGAACTCTCCTACTTAAAGGTACGTTAAAGTGTTCATCTATATTATATCTGTTTATTATTGGGTTTATTTATATTTTCTTAGATTTAATGATTTTCATCAGTTTTGTGTATAAACCTATACACAAATTACTCTTGTAAGAGTTTAAATATGCAATCATGTTGGGACCTGGAACGTATTATTCCGTTTTACATAGATTCCTTTTGGAAAAATAGTTTCGGTTTACGAACATTTCGGTTTACGAACGGACTAAATTCGTAAGCCGAGGTTCTACTATAATTCATATGTAAGAAGTGTTTTGAGCATTTCCATATTTCCAGGATAAATTTTATTGAACGTTGAGGTTTGTCGCTTGAAGTGGTTGATACAAAATGCTTGAAATTCTCTATACAATAAACAGTATTAACAACATTTACCGGCCTGAATGTTTTCATAGAAAATGCGCATCTTCCGACAGGAATCGAACCTGTATCCTACACGAAATTGTCATATTTACATGTTTATTATAAACAGACCATATTTGCATCTATAAAAAGAAGGTATAAACATAAAAATGTCTTTTATATATATATATATATATATATATACACACACATATATATATATATATATATATATATATATATTCAAGTTTTTTGAATTCTCATATACTTGTAATTTGATTGCTCATTCCAGCTAATGTAACAGCGTTTCCCCTAGCGGGGGGGGGGTTGATTGATTTGAACCTTTTAAAACCTTTTATTCTATATTCAACAGCATCACTTGATAAGACAGCGGAAGTGTTGAAACAAAATAGCTATTTTTGTAGTGACTTTATAACACAATTATGTTATAATTTTCGAATAAACAATTATATTTGCTCTACTCTGTATTGAGCACTATTTTAAGAATAATATTTTTTGCTCATTGGAAATTATTCCGTATACACCAATCCTATATTTGATATATATATATATATATATATATATATATATATATATCAGACTACCATTTGTTTCGTAGCTTACAGAATCATTTGGAAGAAACAGCTTTTGTAACACAGGAAGAAGTTAAAACTGACATTTGTGAGTTCTTCGAATCAAAGCCAAAAGAATTTTACAGTAATGGGATTAGTAAGCTTGGAAGGAAGTCATAGATAATCAGGGAAAATACATTGTTGATTGAATCTGTAATTAAATGTAACATTTGGTCACTTGTTTTCTTTATTCAAAATTCGGACAGAACTTATGGGATGACCTGATATATATATATATATATATATATATATATTTAAATTAGTGTGCAAAATAGTCAATACACGAAATAAACGTTGATTACATTATTTATCTGATGTATATTAATTATTTCCCTTAGAATCAATTCCGTCCAATTGAAAATAAGATGGTGTCATTGACAGCAGTTTGGTATGAAAAATCGGAAAGCCGAGTTCGAGCCTTACTCGGGTTCGTTACATTCAATTTCGACCAAATTTGTCTTGGAAAAGATATGTATCCATTTTCTGCCCCAAGTTATGGGTTAAATGATAGGACTTTTATCTAGAAAAGGATTGCTGTTCTCAAAAACGTGTTAATGCAATTCAATTGTGTTAATTTAAAATAAGTTTCGACATTTAATAATCCACAAAGGGTTGATAAGCTGTAAAAAATCAATCAATCGGAAATATAAGCAAGACTGTATAAATATATTCATATAAAATTATAAAAAATATCTATTTCAGAGAGATTAAATTAAAAATATTCAATATCCTTTACAGAACAGAACTAAAGAAAGCTTAATAGTTTATTTAATAGACTTTGTTTGCAATGACAGCTTCCTGTCGCTTCTTATTTCGACATCGTCTCTTCTGTCGGAATTTTAAACTATACTTCAGGTCAGATTTTTGTCATTTCGTTCAACCGATTTCAAGCCTACTTTTATAGATTGATTTCTTTCCCAAAACGTTCGTTGTGTTGGCAGTCTTTTTTTAGGATTAGTGTCCTACTGAAACATCTAATCACATTTTATTTTTAATGCCTTACCTGATGTAAGGATATTCAACTGTCATTTTGTATATATCACTACGTAGATTCATTTTTCCCTTTGAATATGTGAAGTTGTCTTGTACCAAATAACCCTAGACCATTCGTTCCCAACAGATTTTGGGCTATGCATCAATTTGGTTCTTCTAAAATCCTGGTGCCCCCTGTAATATTTAATTCTTACATATTGAAAATGTTACTGCAATTCACGCGAAGCAAGCTTAAAAGCCATTAATTTGGTCTCTAAACAAGCCTCCAAAACCATGGCGTCTATGAAAGAGAAAAATGAAAAAAAAAGACAGTTAAATATATATATATATATATATAGTTTCCAAATATATAATAGAGAACTGAAAGGCAGAAATATAAAATATTTGAATGAAAGATTATTCTGTAATATACTTTGGTCATTTTAATCATGGAATATTTGTAATGAAAAAAGTATGCAGGTTTAGGCTTTAAGAAAGCTTTATTCATCTGAGAATACAAGATTCGCGTATAGTGTCCTTTTATAGTCCCAGTAAACAGAAATAGCTCTCTTAAAGAAGAGATTAACGAAACAAGGGGAGACCACTCTTGATTATTTATAACGGTGACACTATTTAGGTTGCTAGAAAGAAAGAAGAAAAAAAAGAAAGGCGAAAATTAAATTTAGGTGATAAGAAGCCATCACGAAAAGGTCACTAGCGATGTTATTCTTTTTAACAAAGAAAAATGCTAAAGGTTTTATCCTCATTAGCGAAGAAAGTAAGGTCGCAGCTGTGTCGGATTTAATTTAATTTATGACGACGCACCGAATAAGATATATCCAATCTGCCCATGGCAATGGCAAAAATTTCAAGTTGGACAAGCGACCTCCTGCAGAGTGCTGGGAGCTAAAATTAATTAGGTCAAGCTTGACCGAAACCAAAATGTCCGTTGAACCACCTGCATGTCATTTCGGAAAAACACCTGTTTATTGTCAGGGCTGGCTATGATAGCAAAATTATTTTATCAGAACGAATAATTGGCACCAAGGTGCTATACGTCCAATTGACCACCCACTTGATAATTGGCGAAAATCTCGTTGACGAATTCCATATGAAATTCGGTTAAGATAAGAATCTAAGGACTTGTGATCGAGAATAAGAAAGAGAAAGAAAAGAAAAAGAAAAAAAAGGAAGATAATTTTTATTTCTTTGAGCAGGATTTTTTAAACTGAGGCCAGTCTGGCCACACCCACACTGCTGGGCGCCCATTGGATGAATGCTGGCGTGAGCGGCAGGCGAAGGTAATCATGTGATGAAGGAGGGGAGGCCTGTTGACAACCCCTGAAGGGATCGGTATGAGATGCCACTGTGAGAGAGAGGGGAAACCCGTTGACACCCTCTGAGGGTCTGGGTGAGATACCAATATGAGAACAGAAGGAGGAGGACGAAAGACTTCCAAAAATGGAAAATAATAACTGACTGGATTGTGGATTTAGAATTATCAAGGAACCTCAAAAACCATATAAGCAGAGTCGCAGCGAGTGAAAAGCAGTTCAGTTAAGTTCGCAGTTGAGTTCGCAGTTCGCAGCTGAGTTGAATTGAGTTGGGCTCGCCACGCAGGAACCCGACTGAAAGATTCCACGCAAATCACGACCTCAACTTCTAACCAAGAACAATTTATTTTTGAAGAACGACTTAGACTCACACCACCGAAACAAGTTTTACGAATATCGCCTGAAGATACATCAAGAACCAGTTTCTTAAAGAACAAACAACTTAAGATGTTAAGACTCGCCTAACAAACACAAAGTGTTACGAGTCCATATAGCGGGTTGGGAAGAAAACGCAGTCCTGTATTCAGCAACCAGATATAAAATATCGTTATCCTTTTTAACACATTTGAACTTTTCGAGTTATTATTTTATTTTCTTTTACATATACTTTTGCGATATCACCCTTGTTCGGACTCGACTTGCATTACGGCCCGGCGACTGATTGATTTCTTCTACCTAAGATCAAATCACAACGTGGGTAGGTTAGACTAGAAATCAAAATAGTTACTTCGGTAACCAGACGTTGGAGGCGAGCTGGAAACGACGAGGCTGATACCGAATCTAACCAGATTCGCATCCGAATCAGCAAAATGTTAGAACGTCACATTAGATGCCGCGACCAATACCAAGTGACATTGGTCGTAACAAGAGAGGATAGGACGGCGACGGCGCGGAGACAGATGGGGTGACGTCACAATTGGCGCCGCGACTAAGACAGCACGGCGGGCGCGGCCACGCAGACATCACGATTGGCGCAGCGACACCGGGGGACGTCACAAACAATAATAATGAAAAATGAAATTTGAGCTCACTAGAAAACAATTCACTGTTAATAACTCATTCTCGAATTGCCCCTTACTCTGTTGGTATAGTAAGCCAAAGGTTGCACATCCTACGCATGCCCCATATTGCCATGCCCCACCGGTGGGGCATGCGCCTCAAGTTAGGAATCATTGGTGTGACTGAATATAGCGAACCCGATCGGATTTCAAACTCAGCTCTCCGATTTCCAATTGCCAAACGTTATCCATTTACACCAACGGGGCATCCAAGCATACAGCACCTGGTATTCAGAAGCTGTCACCCATCAAGGTACTGACTCGGTTTGACGTTGCTTAACTTCGGTGATCATACGGGGAAGGGTGTTTCAACGGGATATGGCCGTAAGTCGTCCAGTATTTGGTCTGTGGGAAATACGATTCAGAGTAGACCCCCAAGTCAGCTTAAATGAATTTAAACTCTCCCAAAGCCGAAAAGTGCGGGAAGTGGTAGCTACAATTCGAAACCACGATGATGATTTCGACCGTTAAGTGTGTCTCATTATTGGGACATTATTCCATTGAAAGGCCCGCTTATCAAATAACGACATTTTTATAAAAGCCAGAGTTATATTTGTTTCTTGACTTTTCTAATACATATGTGATAAGAGCCCATCTGCAGCGTCTTTGGAAACAATTAAATTATGGACGACCAAAAGTGACAAAATATATCACAGTCTTTATGAATAGTTAATAACATATCCAACATTATTCGAACAATCAAATCTCTTTTTTTGTACTCTTCCTGGTGCTAATGCCAATTCATTCTTCAATTTTCTCTCGGTGCAATCCTTCAGAATAAAGGAAAGAAAAAAAACATGCATCTATCTATCTATCTATTCATGTATATCTCATTCCGTTCATATCTATCGATCTCTCTTTGTCATAATCTATTTATCTATCTCAGCCTGTTCATATCTATCTATCTATCTATCTATCTATCTATCTATCTATCTTAGTCTATTCATGTGTATCTCATTCTGTTCATATCTATCGATCTCTCTTTGTCATAATCTATTCATATCTATCTATCATAGTCTATTCATATCTCATTCAGTTTCTTTCTATCTATCTATCTATCTATCTATCTATCTATCTATCTATCTATCTATCTATCATAGTCTATTCATATCTATCTCATTCTGTTCATATCTATCTATCTATCTATCTATCTATCTATCTATCTATCTATCTATCTATCTAAATAAAGGAAATCCAGGACTGCAGAAAAAAAGAAAACGCACATGAAGTAGGATGAAGAATGAATCAGCCGAAACTTTGTGCTAACAATAATAAATATACAAATAAAATCTTCTGAATGGTAATAATGATAAACGTAATATTAACTGTTTCCTTATAAGGAAACTGTTGTGGAGTGATTTCGCAGTGGAGACTTGTATTTGTACTAAATCGGTCCTAAAATAGGTTCGACATACAAAACGTTAGGAACTTGATATAATAGGTGTTACGCAGAGTAATCTTGTTGTGGTCACTGACTACTTTCGTATTCGACTGTCAACTCCTGTCATCCGACATCGACTGACCCTTGTTTCTCTTACTACTCCTACTTATATTAGGTGAGAGAGTCTATTAACTATAGAATAGGTGTGTTTCACCATAACACCCACCTCCTAAAACTTTACTCCGTAGGAGTAAAACAGTTTTCTTTTTTTTTATTTTTTACAGGAAATATGAAGAAAAAAAAACTCCATTTTTTAGCAACATCGTAGCGTATCTCCTACGTTTTGAATCCACATTTAAATGATCAGTTGCCTTTCTTTTTCTCCTGGATTGGTGTACCTCAGGTAAAATCATTGCAGGCCTTGTTAGATCAAATGTATCGAAAATCACCTCCATCGACGTTTCTTCCGCGGAACCGCTGTCAACCACGTCTGAAGAGCGTCGTCTGATCTGGTTAATGTACCTTCTGCACGTGAATTTTTCGCCTTTCACCAAGTACATCATATTGCCACTCCGCTTTCTATTTTTTGAGACCTCCATAGTGTTACCAGAAACAACCTTCCGTTTTGAGCTTCTTAAGGATGGCGTCACAGTTTCTGTAGGTTCTTCTTGTGGTTCTATTTGTTCAGTCTTTAGCTTCCATTTTGTTGATGTTGTTCTTCTTAAAGTTTTCTTCAGTGACTTCAGTTGACTTCATTTAATAATACTGCATGTCCTTGGCTGCGGGTAACTCGCTCTCCAGTTTTTCTCGCTGTCGGCCTCATCTTTACTTTCTGGGGATTTTTTTCACGTATACCGTCGGTGTTGCCCATTCACTATACTCAACTTTTTTAAGTACACCGGTTTTCTTTAATCTGTCCAATTCTTTATCTGTCTGTTCAATTGAAGCAAACGGCACATTCCTTTTCTTTTTGAATACAGCCTGAGCGTTTTTTTTTTACCTGGAATTTTGCCTCCATCTTGGTACACGTTCCCAACCCTGGAGAAAAAACTGTAGGAAATTTTTCCTTAAGTTTCTTTATTAATTTTTGGGCTTCGGTGTTTAAACTTTCTACCTTGTAACAGAAGGAATTTATCGGTAGATCCCATAATTGAAATTCTGTTATCCAATTCGTACCAAGTAAGTTCGTGGTATTTTCTATGACAAATAGTTTAGCTTTTCGCGTTTTTTATTTAACGTGACGTTTGTAACAAATTCCCCAATAAATTGCATTTTTTCTCCCGTCACTGACCTCGCGATTTTCTTTGTCTTTATTAATGCTGGTTTCCCCAACTTCTTCCACGTATGCAAATTTATGATAGTCAGCTCTATATTTTTATTACTTTTTATTACTTATTTCGACGGTAACAATTTTTCTAGTTATTCCATCTTTTACCTCGTTGGACTTTAATTTTCTTATTTTATTGTCGTTATTTTTTGAACTGCAGTGCGAGTTTTATGACCCACTCTTTTACAGTTGAAACATTTTTTATTCCTAAAACTGCAATATTTGTACCAGTGTGGTTCACCGCAAGCAAAACATGGTTTCGGGAGTTTTTGTTTATTTTTCTCTGGTATTTCACTTTTTGCTTGATAATCCGCAATTTTAGAATTCTTTTTGGGAGACTGACTTTCTTCGTTGTCGCGTATTTTTCTTACACGCGAAACGCCAGACTGTTCTATCTTTTTGAAATCTTTCTTTACGCTAACATATCGTGTGCAGTCTTCTACCAATTTCTGTACCGTAATACTTGGATCGCTTTCCAATTTTGCCAGTACTAATTTTCTAAAGTCTGCGTCTCTTTCCGATACCAGCCCCTGAACAAACACCAAGCACTTAAAATTGTCTGCGCCTAAGTCTGCCAGCTTGAATTCTTCACAATGCTTATTCACATTGGAAGCGTACGTTATATATATATATATATATATATATATATATATATATATATATATTTGTTCGTCATCTTTCATCAGATTCAAACATTTCCACCTCTTGTGAAACAAAGATGTCTTTTTACTGAATAATTCACTTAATATATTTACCGCCTCGGTAAATGTCAACTCGCTAGTTTTTTTTCGGTAAAATGTAGTTTACCAATTTGTTATGCTCAGCAGTTCTTAGTTTGTTTAAAAGAAGCCTAACCTTCTTTCCTTCAGACCACAAGTGTCAGTCCTCGTTATACACGTCCGTATATTTTTTATAATACTCCTCAAAAGTTATCTCTTCATCCTATATTAGGTGGGAGAGTCTATTAATCATAGAATAGGTGTGTTTCACCATAACAGAAACATACAGCGTTAATTGATCGAGTTTGCAGACTGGCACTCGTGAGAAGAGCGCATCATGTAAACAGGTCATCTAATGTAATGAGGACCAAAATGCCAAAGACACATTGACAGAAACATACACGCGTTATTACAAGTGTCCAGTAATAATTATTAATTCATGTCTTGATGTTTACCACTTTGAACTGAGTATCAAGCTCAGAGCGCTCCTGATTTTGACCTTGATCCAGACTAGTCTAATGGTTAATTATCTAGACCCTTATAATAACTCTGTAGGGAGTTCATTCCTCACTGAGTACCTCGAAATTTGGCCTTGTTCTGTTATTTATTAGGAATAAAGAAAGAGACCAGAGCTGTTATCTAACATCATTTCAGTGATACGCCATGCCTGATAAACGCTTAGGCGATCATGTATCTTTCCATACATGACTGACGAGGCAGATTTTTTACCCGAAGTAGGTTAGCATTTTTTTCTGTTGTAGACAAGTTGCCATCCAAGGCTATACAACCCGGTCTGTCCTGCTATTTACCTATAGCTTATAAGAAGAGGATTCATGCCTTTCCAAAGGATATTAGCACCTAAGTGAATGTAATGGATTCGACTAGAATTCGAACTCGGCTCTCCGATTCCTTAATCTGATCTGCTATTCATTATTCCACCGTGCCTTCTTCAGTCAGTTATGTGCCATGCGTGATACACGCATAAGCGGTCATGTATCTTTCGATACATGACTGACGAGGCAGATTTTTTTACCCGCAGTAGATTAGCATTTCTTTCTGTGGTAGACAAGTTGCCATCCAAGGCTATAGAACCCAGTCTCTCCTGCTATTTACCCATAGATGGGGGGAGAGGATTCATACCTTTCCCAAGGGTAATAGCACGTAAGTAAATGTAATGGATTGGAACTGTTACTCTCTGATTCCTTAATCCAGAGATGGCAAGAAGTTCGATGTTGATGCAAATTCAACGTATACAGAAAGGTCTTTTCGAGACAGAATTATATACAGTGCTACGTCACACGAACAGTTGACACTTTGGCCGGAGAGGCAATATGATCTAACAGTAATTATATATTCTGTCAGTTATGTGCCAAAAGTGATACACACTTGGGCGATCATGAATCTTTCCATACATAACTGACAAGGCAGATTTTTTCACGCAATAGGATGTCATTTCTTTCTGCGGTAGACCAGTTGCTATCCAAGTCTACAGACCTATAAGGACTATAGAATTCCTGCTATTTATCCATTGCTGGGGGAAGAAGAGGTTTAATGGATGTCAGTTATTAGTTATTTCCTGGTAATCCCCCTCTCCAACTTCTCCGCTGCCTTAACCGAGTATTGAACTCACACTCTTTGGGTCCTGTTACTGAATCTGACTAATGCCTTTATCCACTGTGTCATGTGTCCATTTAACATGGTATGTGGAACTCGAACAGTCTACCCCAGTGAGCGAAAAAAGGATTTAGTTCGACATTCTAACCAGGTGAAGAAGGCCGAAGCGTACAACGGCCAAATGTAAATAGTGTACACAATACCTCATCTCAAAAAAATATAGATAGATACTGAAGGGCCAAAACGTTGTAATAAATATGGCGACATAGATGAGGACAATAGTCCGA